CAAAACTAAGCATTTTTTCAGAAAATACAGTGTGAACAAAGAGAGCTGAATGAGTCCAAATAAATATGCTGAAGGAGATGAAACAGAGTTGTTCAAGCTAAAATAAACATTTACCTAATAGGCACACCAAGCAGAACACCTGCTACATGTGAAAATTTAAAACATACTAGCTAAGAACTAGGCAGCACGATGGCACAACTGGTAGAGATGCTGCCTCTCAGCAAGCAGGTCCCTGGTTCAAATCCCGGTCCGGAAGCCTTTCTGAGTGGAGTTTGTATGTTTTCTCCGTGCATGCGTGGGTTTTCTCTGGGTACTCCAGTTTCCTCCCACAGACCAAAAACATGCATGTTAGGCTGATTGGTAACTCTAAATTGTCCCTAGGTGTGAGTGAGAGATTGAATGGTTGTTTGTCTCGTTTGTTTCTATGAGTCCCTGCGATGGACTTGCGACCTGTCCAGGGTGTACCCCGCCCCTTGCACAGTGATTGCTGGACATGGGCACCAGTGACCCCTGTGACCCAAAATAGAAGAAGCGGGTAAAAGATAATGGATAGCTAAGAACTAAAATAAATCTACACTTGCCAAAAGATAAATGCAGCAAAATGTTAGCTAATCGCTAAATGTAAGGAAAGACAAGCTAAAAAAGTAGGAAAAGGTTTTGACAAAGCTAATGGATAGCTAAAACTACCCAAATGCTATCTAAATTAGGGTGACCAGACGTCCCTGATTTTCAGGGATAGTCCCCGTTTTGGATCACCTGTCACCAGATAAAGCTGTCCCTGGAAATGTTCCCGATTTTAGCATTTTGTGAATTAAAAATATGTTGTGTGTAGGCTGTTATTACAGTAGCCAGGTAAAAAGCACGAGTGGGTATGTTGCACACAACAGCTATTACTGTAGCTGGTCGTGCTGCTGTTAACGTTACAGACAGAGAAGAAGGCGAGCTAAGTTCACCGCCTTTAAAACAGAAAAAGAACAAATGTAAGTCTAACCATAACTACACCATGGTAAAGTTAGTTTTGTTTTACGTTGGACCTTGGATATTGGCGCTCTGTGGATTCAGCTGTGTCTTCTTCTCGTTCAATCCAATGCAGGCAGTCTGATTTTGGTCAGCTGCACTCAGTCTGCCCCTCTTCCGAGTCGCAAACTCGCAAACAAAGTCGATGTAACTGGGACCCAGTTTACACAATTTTGTTCCACCACATGTACAACATGTGGTGCATATGACAAATAAAGAAACTCTGACTCTCTGACTCTTAAAATGTTCGCTTAGGGACCGTCAAAAAATTACAGAACCAAAAATTCCTGAGAAAACCCCCCAATATATTTTAATGTCTCGTGACCCACTGACACAGAATTAATGTTAAATTGCTCTAAAAGACCTGACAGAAGAGACACAATGGGCTCCGTTTGAATTTGAGCGATTCCGGATCCGATTCCGATTCTTCATTTCGATTCCGGTTCCCATCGATTCCCGATTACGATTCTTTTTAGAGGCGGGGTTAAAAAAAAAGACCTGTCAATTCAGTTCAGTTTATTTATATTTATACTGTACAGCGCCAAGTCACAACAGACGTCGTCTCAGGGCACTGAACAGAAACAATTATATTTAATAAGAAGAAGTTAACAGAAACTTTCATATAAAAATAATAAGTTAACACTGCTTGGCTGAGGAGCAGACTGATTTGATTTTAACTCCATCAAGTTATAAATGAGCTGAGGGGAGTGGTGGCGCAGAGGTTAGAGAAGGTGGGCCTGTGATCGGAAGATTGCCGGTTCAAGCCCCGGTACCGACAACATCAAAAAATGTGGGTGGGGTAGGTGAAGCACCCACCCCTGTCCCTACCCTCATTTGTCCCACTAGGGGGCTCTTGAGCAAGGCCCTTAATCCCCACCATCTGCTCCTCCGGGTGTCCTAGATAGCAGCTCTCTGCTCCACACAGAGGGTTGTGATAGCTCGGTGGTCTGTGGTTGTGTCAGGAAGGACATCCTGTGTAAAAATAACTGACAAGTCTTCGTGCGACTTAGTTCGCTGTGGCAACCCCTGAAGAAGGGAACAGCCAAAAGAAGAAAAAAAGTTATAAATGAGCTAGCTAGTCAAGAGTCTGAGGAAACACCAAACAAAACTGATTCTCTCCCAACAAAAAAACAGTTATGTTGGTGCTAAGATGGACTCTGAGGCATGCCCTCTCCTCCGGTGCCCGCCCTCTCCCTCGTTGACAGTCATGTCAAACTGGTTCAAAACACCAAAGCCCATGCTCAATAATCCAGGTATACAATCCAACAATGTTCAGGTCATCTGGACGTTTTTTGTTTTTGTATGTGCTGAGACATTACGAGGAGAGAGTGGTGATCGGAATAGACCTGAATGGGCATTTTCGTGAAGGAAACAGAGGGGATGAAGACGTTCGATGTCAAGGAAAGAAACCAGGAAGGACAGATGATGGTGGATGTAGGATATTTTAATTATCCTATCATCAGCTCAGGGCAGCACGGTGGCACAACTGGTAGAGCTGCTGCCTCTCAGTCAGAAGATTGCCGGTTCAAATCCCGGTCCGGGGCTGGGTGGAGTTTGCATGTTCTCTCCATGCATGCGTGGGTTTTCTCCGGGTACTCCGGTTTCCTCCCACAGACCAAAAACATGCATGTTAGGCTGATTGAGAGAGTGATTGGTTGTTTGTCTCGTTTGTCTCTATGTGGCCCTGTGATGGACTTGTGACCTGGCCAGGGTGTACCCCGCCCCTCGCACAGTGATTGCTGGACATGGGCACCAGAGACCCCCATGACCCAAAATGGAAGAAGCGGGTAAAAGATAATGGATGGATGGATGGATGGATGGATGGATGGATGGATGGATGGAT